CGTGCAGGCTAAGCACATGCTCTACCACTGAGCCATCCTCTCCCCGCTGGACTTACTCTTTAAAAAAGGACATGATCACTCCAACTCTCACGGGAAGAGGGCACATATTAAATAACAGAGGTGTGCAGGGTAAAGCACAGAGGCTGGAGCATCACCATGACTTCATAAACGGGAATTACTATCCCCAAAAAATAAAAGAATGCGCGTGGGTCCCTTGCAGCAGGTGCAGCAGAGAAGCGGGAGAGAGTCCTGGGGCGGGGGGGGGGGGCACGGCCCCGCGGCAGAGCACATGCTCAGCATGCAGGAGGCCCTGGGTTCGCTCCCCAGCACCTCCTCTAACGTAAACAAACAAACAAACAAGCTTAATTCCCTTCTCCCTGAAAACAAACAAACAACCCACAGTCCCGAAAAAGAGAGCCCTGGGCCTCACCAGTGAGGCCTGGGGACGGGACCAGGCCAGGTGCGGAGGGCGGGAGAAAGAACAAGGAGGGAAGGGGACACCCTAAGATGACGGTAGCTCCCTGAGCTGCACGCGAGCAAGAGGTCACACTTGAGGAGGAAACTTCCCGAGAGGCACGAAGAGGGACGGGTGAGGCCCGCCGCCAGCTCAGAAGCTCTGCTGCTTCCGACGTGCGTTCACGCACTTGTCTGAAGTCACGGCTGCCGTCCCTGGTCAACCGCCCAGAGCAGACGCCCCGCCCTGCAGGGTCGCCTTTCTGCGGCCACTGGGTCACTTTACAGCAGCTCGTCACCCGCAGAGAAAAGCAGACACTCTTGGCCACGAGGACGCCGACCTTCAGGAGGAAACTGCCCTGCGCTGCCTCTGTCCTTGGTCCGGGCGGAGCCGGAACACAAAGAGGTCTCTGGCCCACGGGAACCAGGCTTTAGAAGAGAGTCAGATGCTGGACAGATGGATAGACAGATGGATGGACAGGGACCAGAGAGAGAACAGCTTTGTGCTCAGAGGGTACAGACTGCGGGGCTGGCCTCCCACCCCTGTCACTCAAGGGAAGAGGGGAGGTCACAGCAGAAGCAGGGCTCCTGCCGGAAGCCAAACTTCTGGTCAGTCCATTTCTGATTCTCCCCAGAAAGAATCTACAAGGAGACTTGGTAACGCTGCTAAGGCTGGCATTTCACTTCCTTCCCCCTTTAGGAATAGTTGATAAGGAGTGAGAAATTGCAGGCCAGACATTAGACAGTGTAATGGAACCTAATGATCAGTTTTCAAAATAAAAAGAAACACAGAACATGTGAAATTATGTGTTTTATATGTATATACATATGCATAGACTACCCGCCTGCCATGTGAAGAGGCTGTGTGTACAGCCTACACGCAGGTAATTGTATATATGATTTATAGAGACTCTGAAGGACCTAAAGACTTCAATGTATGGGACATTCTAAACATCCCTTTCTCACCACAAAAAGTCAGGGAATGAAAACTTGTTTGGTTTTAAGCGAAAGAAAATTAATCTTGCCAAACTGATCTCCTAAACTTGCCTGGGGAAAGGAAGGTGAAGGTAATTAGTAATTAAAAGTTTCTGACGGGACAAAGGATTTTCAAAAGGAAAGCCCCCAAAGATGCAGTCTACCTGGTATTTGTAAAGGCGGCCTTTACTTCCAGGCCGGTCAGCTTATTTAAGACTCCATCTAGTAGAGACATTCATTTCCTTCTTAATCTCTTGGCCTGTCCTCTGTAAAGTGCTTGCACTTTGCACACCATTAGGGATTCTTTCTCCTTCACCTGCGCGGCCCAAGCAGGCCCTTCTCAGCCACGCCGCGCTAAGGTGACTCGCTCTGCGACGGCCCCTCGGTAGGGAGACTCCCGCAGAAGCGGTGCTTTGACTTTTCAGCGGTCCTCAGACAGGTGAGCCCCTATCAAGGTAAACGTAGGTCTGTTCTGACTCCCCTTTAATTAGGTCTCAGTGGCTTCACACTCCTACGAGATGAGCTGGGCACACCATGCCTGCTGTCCAGACAGACTCGTGTAAATCCATCCCTTTGTGATGAGCCGTGACTCGCCTGGCTCTGCCTGTCACTAACCACCACGACTTTCACAGATGGTTAGTTCTGCTACTTGATTATAGCTTCAGAAACTGATGTACAAATAAACTCTTCTAAAGGGAACTCATAATGTCATCATTTTGCCAAGATGCCCACTCCCGAGGCGGGCGAGAAAACGGAACAGGAAGCTGAAAGGAGTTCGTTTGCATCGGGCCTAGAAGCTCCAGAAAAAGGCAGGTGATCGGAGAGGGGCGGGCCAGGCACCAGCAGCAGGGACTCTGCGTGTGCAGAGACGGCGCGGGGTACCCCAGGGAGGAGGCGGCCGTGTGAGGCCAGCAGCTCCCATCCTGCCAGCCAGCAGAGGGCTCATGAGTCCTTGTGCCCTGCAGGTGACGTGAGCTTCACCGCAGCAGCTGCCCCGCGCCCGGCATCCGCAGCGCGGTCTCCTGCCTCTGTCATCCTTGCTGTTCCACGAACGGTCCCTTCTCTGGACCATCTGTGTCCCCCCCAGATTCCTGTGTTGCAACCTGCAACATGATGGTCTTCGGAGGTGGGACCTTCAGGAGGTGACTGGATTCAGATGAGGTCTTGGGGCTGCGGCCCGCGTGATGAGATCAAGGTCCTTACGTGAAGAGGAAGACAGTCCAGAGCATCCTCGCCCCGGCAGGTGAGGCCACAGCGAGAAGGCGGCCGTCTGTGAGCCAGGAAGAGGGGCTCGTGGGAACCCGCCACGCAGCGCTGACCTCAGCTATCCGGTGTCCGGGACTGTGTGATCCAGGTCTGCAGTTCCAGCTCCCGGGTCTGCACTGTTATTCTGTCACAGCAGCCTGAGCTAAGACGTCCCCACTGACCAACCTAAGATCCTGAGATCCCATCCACCCCTTGACGCCCAGGCGGACCCTTCACTCCCAGAACCCCGGCCCGAAGTCCCACCCTCAGATACCGCCGCAGCCCGTGAGCGAGTAATTCCACAAGCACAGAATAAACACGTTCCTCCTGTGGCACGGGAACACCCCCTCGGCCACCGGGAAGCAGAGGCGCCCGCCTCCCAGCCAGCCCGGCCCGCAGCCGCAGCGCGTACTCACGTCCAGGGACTCCAGGCAGTACCAGCAGAAGGCGTGTTTGCAGTTCTTACACATCATCTGGGCGCAGCCTTCGTCCCGCTCGATGTGCACCTTGCACCTGGGGCAGCGCTTGATGGGCGCGTCGTCCCCCTCCAGCGTGAAGGCAGAGCTGCTGTGGGAGAGACTCCGTCAGGGCTTCGCTCCGAGGGGCCCGGGAGGGGCCTGCCTGCACCGGCTACGCTGGGCGCATCAGCCGCACTAGCGCGGCTGAGGTCGCGTGTTACTTAATGGAAAGTCGAAAGCAAAGAATCTCAATCACCAAAAACCTGTGCATCAGCCAGTCTGACTTAGGGAGGGGAAATCTAAAATCTACATTTAGATGCGCAAAGGAAATAGGGCAAAAGGCTTACAGTGGCGATCTCTGAGTGGTGGGATTACGGCCAAATCTTATGTCCTTATTCAATATTTGCATGCTTTCCAAAGGGTTGATAGTAAGTTATATGTTCTTTGCTATTATCAGAAAGGAAATGTTAAAACACACACACACACACACACACACGTACCAATCGCTCAGTAAGACCTACATGGCTTGTCTTTACGAACTCATTTTCCCGAGAGGTCTGGGCAGGCCCCACTGTGCTGAGCGTGGCGGGGTTTAAGCCTGGGGTCAAGTGCTGGTGCGCACCGGCGTGGAGCAACCTCTCTGGGCCTCAGCCTCCCCGTCAGTGGGAGTGTGAAGGATGGTTCGGATGAAGAGCGCAGGGCAGTACCAGGCATGAGCCAAGTGCCAAATAAACGGTAGCAGTGATTCTCTGCGGCTCATGAAATGGTGACCTAGGCACCATTTTAGGTATGCCTGCAGAAGGACGTCCATCCCATGCTGTTAATTCTAAAGAGACAGCTAAAAATGTGCACGGAATCATCTGGAAGAAGCAGCGGTGAAGAGCAGTTATCGCTAATTATGGGGCACATTTGCTATGTTGTTTGAACTCACTGCATCCACTCAGTGTCTCCAGGAGAAAAATGACTTCCCATTGGGGTGAGCAGGCTTTTCAGAACCTCATGCATTCAAGAGTGTAAATTCACTGTGGCTGCCCCAACTCTGGCTTTTCAAGTGCATTCGGGCTGAAGGACCTTCCACAAGCGCCACAGTGAACGGAAGGGATAGACCCAGCACCCCTTTACACGCGTCGTCTGAGCGCTAGAGGGCTTCCCGCCGACCACACCCCCGGGGTTCCCGGAGTGCCAGGCTCCGGCCCGCGAGGCGTGTGCCCCAGCTCGGCGGGGCTCTGTTGCGCTCTCCGGCACAAGGTGACCGGTTAAGACCCTGCAGTGCGGCCTCGGAGTTGGGGCGTCTGGAGTCAGACATGTGGGTCCAGGCCACGCTGCGTGCGTATTGTCAGCCTCCGTGTCCCCAGATACTAGGCAAACCGCGCCCGGCTCAGAGGGGCTATGAAAACAGCAGACAGCAGCGCGTGTGCAGGAATCACTCCCTAAGTGCTGGTCCTGACTGATGCTGTTACTGAAAGATTATAAAACTGTCTCTTGTTCAAACTCACCTCTAATTTAGCAGCAAACAGCAGGCCAGCCTGGCCGTACAGAATGTGATTTACAAGTCGGGGTTGTCACAACCCATGTAAGGTGTCTCCACAGGGAAGGGCACAAGGCCACTCCCCTACAGACACAAGCCATGTCCCCCTGAAAGGAGTCTGACCTCTAACAAGAGCCGAAGTCAGGAGGCACCAGTCCCGTGACTGAGGCCGACTATCAGGTTAGATAACATCGTTGTGGTTCGAAAGCCAGGTGGGACCTTAAAATAAGGAAACCAATTTTCCCACATGACTCACAAGCTAATTTTGAAGGAAAGGCCGTGAGCAGATGCAGCGGCAGTGGACAGTGAAAAGCGTCTGTCAGGGAGACTTTTCAAGCAGAGACAGTTAAAATATGGAAGTTCTGGTGCACTGTGGCATGAAATTTATATGGTAGAGACAATGGTTTTCAAACACTTCCTGGTACCTGGATTAAATTTCAAATGATGATTAGTAACAACTCTGTCAGCTCTAATTTGTGAAGGCAGGTAGGAGTCCTTTGACCATTTCATCACAACCTACAAGTTCTAACGTCTTTAAGGAGCAAATACACAACAGAAATGCATGAAGCTGGTCAGCTGAAGGGTGGAAACAGAGGTTAAGGGAAGATTTAACTTAGAGGAAAAACACTTACTGTATGATACTAGCTGAGGGTGCGCTCAGTTAGTTATAAGTGACACTGGACAGTCAGCCTCAGGACCAGGGAGACAAGAGGGAGTGGTGAGGACTGTGGCAAAATAAAGATGCAGAAAGCTCTTCTAAAAAGGGGGCTGCTGCCAGCTCCAGCCGACTGTCTGCAGGTGGGAACGCATCTCTGTGCAGCTGGATAAGCTAGAAATTCAGGATTTTTATGCCAAATCTTTTGTTTTTAAATTTTCACAAAATGAGATTTGTGAACTTGTACAGAAATTGCCCTTCTGTTTCTTAGCACACAACCTGATTTTTTTTTCATTTTGTTTGCTCTTGTTCTTTCTGAGGTGCATCACGGATGATTTAACCACGCGTACGTTATGACATAACTGCCGCCCTTGAGCAGGGACCTACATGAGGCCAGGACACCTTGGATGAAGAAATACTAACTCCCTAGGCACCAGCACGTAAGGTTTTATGGGTCCCTCCACCGTCCCACCCAGGAGTGGGACGCTGGCTCTTTCTGACTCCTAGCTTCCCTGTTTCTCAGCAGGTAGGAGCCCCTCCCTTGCTTCACGGGGGCTCCCCTTAGCAGTAACCCGACTGCTTCACAAGTGCTCCTGCCCCCGCCTGGAAACCCAGCCCTCCCAGTTATGTGTGACCCGACACACAGAGTGTGGTACTTCTCGCAAATTATGAAGGATCAAGACCCTGAGTATAAGTTAAGTGATCATTCTAGCATTTGAGCGCCTGCTGTACGCCCAGATCTGGGCTGTCAGTGTTCAAACACAGGAGCCCAGCCTGGTGGAGGAACCGGACACTTAACACCCCGCCAGGCTGGTGTCGGCGTCAACACAGGCGGTCTCCGGCGGGACACAGAGGGTGGGTCACCAGCCCGGCCCTGGGAACTGGGAAGCTTGACAAAGGCGGGGGCGTGAGCCACGTCTTCAAGGGCAAGGAGTCTCCAGGGAAAGCAGGAGGGCGGAGAAGGGACATTTCAGGCACAGGCACAAAGCCGGAACGAGAGGGAACAGGGATGTGTCCTGAGGTCTCCAAGAAGGTCCCTGTGCACAGGCTGAGCTGCAGGGAGTGGGGCGGGGGCAGCAGGATGCGGGCAGAGGAGACAGGCTGCCGCGGGCGGCCCTTTGGGTGGGTGGTGGGAGGTCTTTTTCCAGGAATGTCACCTCAACAGGCGCTGGGACACCTCCGTCTAATTGAGCCAGACGCCCTGCAGATATTGTAGGACAGAAAAACTGAATATTACCAATTTCTTCAGCTCAACCTACCAAGTTTCAAGGCACCCAGAAGGATGCGCAGTGTTCACCTGGGCATCCAGCCTGAGGGTCTGGCAGGGAGACGGGGGGCGCAGTTGCTGCAGTGATTTCCCACAGCCTTCCTGACAGGTCCCCACCCGGCCTCAGGCCCCCGGGACCTGCGTCTGGCGATCCTCCTTGTGTTCTAACCACTGCCCACCTCCCCGGGTTCCTGCTCCTGCACCCCGATTCCAGATCACCTTCAACAGCCTTGGAAAACTCCACGCATCACAGGACTTACACCTGTGCATAGTAACTGACCGTTCGTACGTGGATCTTTCTCGATAGGCAGAGCGCACCCAGCTTCTTACGTATCTTTATGTTTCCAGAGCCTTGTACAGTGCCAGGCACATAATCAGTTCTCAAAAATAAATAACAAACAAACCAACCCAGGTCTGAATGAGGTTCAAGAGGAGAGCGTCTGCTGAGGCGGACGGAGGCACCTTTGGGGGTAGCCTGCTTCCTCTCCAGCCCTCAGCCCCGCCTCCGCGGCAGCCTGGGCGCTGAGCATACCTGGTCTCCCCGGGAAGGAAGGTGACTGGCATGGTCTCAGGGCAGCCTTGGCCGGGGTGCCAGCTGGCTTTGCAGGCGGAGCAGAATTCCGTGTCGCAGGCTTTGCACTGCACCAGCTGCGGGGTCTGCAGCCCCATCTCCTGCAGCTGGCACACGGCCTGGCAGGTGGACGCTGGGCACCAAGTCCGGCACGGGTCCAGGAGCACCTCTGGCACAAGGAGAAAAAATGGGCAGGTCAGACTGCAGGACAGGGTCTGGCAGGCTTCGGACTGACGGTCATGCGGGCGCACGGCTTCACATACTTAAAGGGGAGAACCAGGACCATCCAGACCAGACAAAGGACACCCGTGGGGACCTGGGGCCGCTGGGCTCTTCCTCTGC